GGTGAAGTCCCAAGCCACTTTTATATAGTAGTATAGATAAATAACTATAGAAATCACATATTAATGATTTTTTAGTCTTTAAATGTTATTTTCATAAATATATCAATAATATGAAAAATACAATAAAAGATGAGCTCTAGTATGATAGGTAGATTTGCATGTTAGCATTATATTGTATATCTTCTTATATGTAATATATTTAGTTCTGTTATTTGAACCTAATGTTGAATTTGTGTGTAAAGTTCATTTACTATTAGTAATAATAAAGAGAACTTTAAAAAGTTAAATCAATCAAATTAATTGATAGATGTAATTAATGAAGTCATAATTAATTCCAAAATTACGATGGATCAATTAAAATGATAATCATAAATTAAAAATCAGTTGAATAACAAACAAAATGAATTAAACAACAAGATGATGTTGGGTAACTCCGGCTTACGAGACTATTAAATTAGCCCTAAGGATGACGAAATAAACTGCATACATTTGGTTTAACAAAGACAATCATCACTCAATTTAAATAATCAGTAATGAGCCGTTAATAAATGACAGCTTTCATAGTCTCTGTTATATTTAATTTGGCGAATAAAATGCATAGCAAACTCATAAAGCTTTAAGGATTGAAATGATTAACAAAATTCAATGTATATGATATTTTGTTTTATCAATAATCCCATCAATGAAGTTTATAGGATGGACTATCTCAAGCTGCGAGCGAGGCTACATATTCTAAGGAGGTTTTGGTCATCGTACCCATTATGACAATGTCATGAACCAATTAATAAAAAAAATCATTAATAAATCCTAAATAAATTTCCATAAATTTATAAAACTATGATATACAATAAACTAAACGAATATTCTAATTAATAACCTATTTTTAACTCCATATTAATTATACACTATCCCTTAGTTGAACTAGAATTTCAAGGGCTCATAACAAATCAAATAGAAATTAATAAAATATAAAATAAATCCATATGAACTCCTAAATTAATCATGAACAAAAGTTGACATTAATTAAGACTAAATACAAACAAATAATAAAATTCTCTATCACAAACTCTCCAACACTTAAGTAAAACGTTAAAATTCAAACTCAAATTAAATGTCCCTCAACTTTAAACAAACAAAATGAAGATGTTAGATGAGCAAATGAACTTCGAGTCAAAACTTAGTGTTGTGACCTATGTTAGATTTATGTTCATTATTGTACATTCTCCATTAATACACGCATGTAAGGTATATATGTTGGACTATCTCAAGCTATGGGAGAGGCCTAAGTCCTTGTGCCCATTGTGACAATGCTACATACCTCGAGAATTAAGGGATAAGGGTCTAAAGATTTACATAAATTATCCCCTTCAAAAAAATCTAAAGCCACTATTAGGAACCCAATACAACTCCTTAACCACACAAATATCAAGTCATAAGTCATGTAGAACCCTTGTATATTCATAGATAACAAGTTTTTCATTCATATGTCAACTTTAAAATTGATCAACGTCCTTAAACATAGGAAACCAATAATTTTTTTTGAGGGGCAATAGGCCCGCTTAGTGTGTCTCCCTTTGGCCTTACCTCGAGTCTTAGAAAATCAAGAGAGGACTAACCAACCTTGTCACCTCAAAATCATTTCATCCTTTGTTAGGTGTAGGATTGAGGATTGGTCATTTGTCTCTCAATTCTTTATAACTCTAGTATCGGTTATGACCCATGTATTTGGGCTCTTTATAACTTAACAATCAGATCTATAACTCTAAAATTAATTGTTAATTAATTCACTATAAATGATTAATCACTTAAAGAAAAATTTTAGGGCTAATAAATTGAATAACATGAATTTGAACTTGTAACTTTAATCCTTCACCTAATTTGGGGTAGTTAGGTAATACTAATTTTGCACATACTTTGGTGTTGAATAAGACACTTTCTATAGACATTTTAGGGCAGGGTGTAACTAGGATAATATTTTTCAATTTCTTTATTTTATATTTTATATTTGTGATGATATGGTGATTGTTTTTTGCTTAGATTATTTATGATTTTTTATTTTATTTTTGGTGGACTGATGAGTGGTCACTTGCCCTTAAGTTGTTATAATATTTATTGAAATATATTATGTAGGTGGTCACGTTCCCAAGTGGCTAATAAAAATATTATTATTATAAATATAAATATATTTTCTAACTTGCAAGGATTGTTAATATCTTTGGAATGTAGTCATAATGACTAGGTCTGGATGTATATATTATATAATTTATTAGAATTGCAATAATCTATTTTTTACAGGGAGTTTATATAATTTTTATTTTTAAAATATAATTTTAGTTAGGAAAGTCATCTAAGTGTATTAGCATTTTAAAAGGCAAGAGGGCGAATATGTGAAGATCATTCAAGACCACAGACATAATTTCACTTTTGTATATATGTAGGTTGAATTATTGTTATAATAGAGCTCAACTACATCTTTTCTTTTTCATGGGGTGTATTGTAGAACCTAGCTGCACTTATGGCATTTAATTATTATTCATTATCTAGTGATTGGTGTGTTTATATTATTTGTGCATTAGAAT